CCAGTCTGGAGCGGGGAGCAGGGACAAGATGACCTCAGGAAGCCCAGGCTACAGGGGTGCCTGCTTCTTCCCCTCCCCCGCTCCACTCCGCAGGCGAGACCCCCAACACTGCTCCCCGACACTCTCCGAGGCACCCCTCCTCCGTGCTCACACCCAAAACACGTCTGCTCACCCGTGGGCCTCCCACTCCGATCACAACGAGGACTGGCCACAAGTCCAGGTGTCAGTGACCTTCACCCCGACCTGGTCCCTGTCCGGCCTCGCCAGGTCAGCACCCGCCGCGCGCACAGCAGGGCCGGGTGGAAGGAGGCCGGGCCTGGCCGTGGCTCAGGCGCCACCTCGCTGGGGAAATTGGGGGGTGGTCTCAGCCCCCTTCTGGTCCTCAGCCTCCCCATCTATCCCAAGAAGCTGGGGCAGGCCTGGGCGGCGAGGGGACCCCCACCGCGGGCTCGCCGACTCCGCCCCCCGGAGGCCCCTCCCGCGCCCCGCCCCTGCCCCCGCCCCGGGGCCGCGCGGGCTGCCTGGGAGTCTGCGGTCCAGCAGCGGTCCAGAGCGCGCGAGGTTCGGGGAGCTCGGCGAGGCTGCTGGTACCTGCGTCCGCCCGGCGGTGAGTCCGCGGGGCCGCGACCGGGACGCCCCCGCCACCTGCGCGCACGCGCTCAGACCCGGCGGCCTCGGTTGCGGTGCACGCGGCCCCGGCCCAGCCACGCGCGGCGGAAGGCGCCCTGCGGGGGCCGGGGCTGGAGACGGTGGGAGAGAGCAAGAGGGGCGCACGGGGAGGCGCAGGAGAGGGGTTGGGGTTGCCGGTGGGTTGGTCCCGCGAGAGCTGAGCCTCTCCTCCCATCCCCCCCCCCAGGCCTCCCCGAATGTTTCCAAAGATCTGGGGCGGGAGCGGGCGGAGACTGCCGCCAGGAGCCTCCCGGCCGGCCCAGGGCTGCGCAGCCACTGGAGCCCATCACCCAACTCCAGACGCTCCTGGCTCCCCAGCGTGGGCCGGGAGTGACAGCTTTGCTGACTAGGGGAGGGGGCACGGGACCTTGCAGAGCTCCTGGCCGGAAAGGGAGGATTGACCGCTCCCCCGCGTATCACCCCGGAGCACTGGAACCCGCCCCCGCTTCTTGTTCTGGCACTGGTGGTGCTTGCGGTGAGGTCCAAGGAGCCCAGCCTCCCGGAGTGGACCGCCGGGCCGCTCCCCATTCCCACAGGAGAGGCTCCCGCCTCTTGCTGGCTGGGCAGCCCCTAGATACCTGGCTCCCAGGGGCCAGCTTCCCTGAGCCTGGGGACGAGCCTGCAGCCTGGACCCCACGGGCGCCCCCTACGGCCTGCCGGCTCCCTCTGGGCTCCACAGCCCACCCGGCCTTCCTAATTGCCTTCTGCTCCCACCGGTGCCTTAGCTCAGCCTGGTGGTCCGGCGGGTTGGGTGCCAACCAGTGGGCAGATGGCGGCACCAACTGGACCTGTTTGTGGCCCTGTATGCCAGGACTTCCTCAGAGACAGGTCAGGGATCCCCACACCAGAACCTCACTTTTCGGGGGTGGGGGGATAAGGAATTGGAGATCCTTCCTCCTCGGGTTCCTCCTTGGAGGCGGGGACAGGCCCCAGCTGGACTTGGCACTGGTTTTGGCCATCTGGGGCTCCCACTCCCAACCCCAGGATGTCAGCCCAGGTCTCAGGGTCCTGGCCTGCTGCTCTCCCCTTAGGGCCTCTGCGGGCCCCTCTCCAGATCTTTTCTCTGAGGCATCCTCACCCCCAGTGCCCAGCACTAGCTCCCCAGGCCCGGGATGTCCCTCCCCCTCCTCTGCCCACGGCTGTCCCTGACAGAAGGCAGCAGCCTCCCCCTCCAACACCATGCACTTACAAAATAGAGAATCACGACCCCAGCAGGGCGTGTTCCAGATTCTTTCTCCAACAATGCCATGGGCCCCTGCTCAACGGAGGGTCCTGTGCAGAGGCCAAGGAGCAGTACATGGACCCATCTGGCCCCTTCCTGCTGGTGGGACCGGTGGCACGCAGCCTCATCTCTCGGAGCCCATTTCCTAGCCACAGAATGGGGAGTAGCAGATATTTAGTGGGCTGCTGTCCTCAGAACTGAGTAACATCAGGAATGGGGAGTGCTTTCCCCTGGGCCATGTCCCACGCGGCCCCCGGTCTCCATGTCAGGAGAGATGCCTGGGCTCAAGACACTGAGCTGTCCCAAGGAAAGTTCTAGATATAGATTAGCTAATATGCACAGACAGACATACATATAAATGTGTATATAGATCTCTCTTTTTTTTGAGACGGTCTCACTCTGTTGCCCAGGCTACAGTGCAGTGGCATGATCACGGTTCACTGCAGCCTTGAACTCCCTGGCTCAAGAGATCCTCCCACCTCAGCCTCCCAAGTAGCTGACCACAGTCACGTACCACACCCAGCTAATTTTTGTATTTTTTATAGAAACAGGAGGTCTCACTCTGTTGCCCAGGCTGGTCTCAAACCCCTGGCCTCATGTGATCCTCTTGCCTTGGCCTCACATAGCGTGGAGATTACAGGCGTGAGCCACCGTACCCAGCCCCAGACTAGCTCATAGTATTACTGGTCACCATTCCCCCACCCCAGGACTACTGGCAGAGGCCACTGACTCTGCTTCCTTTTCTGTGATTCGGAGAAGGCTGGTGAGTTTCCTCCTCTTGACTGTACAGCGCCCGTGCCAGGTTTCAGAAGGGGTATAGCCTAGAGCATGCCTGCACTGAGTGAGGGGCAGGTCGGGAGAGAAGCAGGGAAGTTCTTGTGTGCTGGCAGGTCCCTGCCCCTCTTTGCTGTGTCCTCATCTGCACAGTGGGGGTGCATGGTCCTGGGGAGGAGCGAGGCACCGCCCGGCCCCCTAACCAGCGGTGTCTCTCCGGAGCAGGACGGCTGCTCTGGTTTGTGACTTCCGGACAGGACGGCCATCCTCTCCAGAATGAAGATCTTCTTGCCGGTGCTGCTGGCTGCGCTTCTGGGTGTGGAGCGAGGTGAGGTGCCCTCGGGGACCCCAGAACTTTGTCCGGCTGTGCCCTGCTCGACTCCCAGGGGTCCTTCCAGGCCGCTCCCAGCAGAGGGCTCACCCGGCCTGGCCACACTGTCTCACTGTGTGTTTGGGTGCCACTTGAGCTGCTCGACGGCCAGGGTAGGGTGTCACTGTCTTCGTTCTGCCTCCACCCCAAGGGCTGCTATACAGTAATTTCTCAGTAAATGTCCACTGGGGTCAGGCCTGGGAGGGACACTGGAGGCTTCCCTGAGACAGGTGTCCTCCTTCCACAGCCAGCTCGCTGATGTGCTTCTCCTGCCTGAACCAGAAGAGCAATCTGTACTGCCTGAAGCCGACCATCTGCTCCGACCAGGACAACTACTGCGTGACCGTGTCTACTAGTGCCGGCATTGGTGAGTGCCAGGCCTCAGACCACGCCTTCCTCCCCTGGCCGTCTCCCTGGCCCAGGCCGGGGCTCAGCAGAGGCCATTGCTGTCTGCCTGCAGCCGTCTGCCTCTCCCCTGACAGCCTCATTTCCCATGCAGGGAATCTCGTGACATTTGGCCACAGCCTGAGCAAGACCTGTTCCCCGGCCTGCCCCCTCCCAGAAGGCATCAATGTTGGTGTGGCTTCCATGGGCATCAGCTGCTGCCAGAGCTTCCTGTGCAATTTCAGTGCAGCCGACGGCGGGCTGCGGGCAAGCGCTACCCTGCTGGGCGCCGGGCTGCTGCTGAGCCTGCTGCCGGCCCTGCTGCGGTTCGGCCCCTGACCGCCCAGACCCTGTCCCCCGATCCCCCAGCTCAGGAAGGAAAGCCCAGCCCTTTCTGGATCCCACAGGGTATGGGAGCCCCTGACTTCTCACGTGCCTGATCTGTGCTCTTGGTCCCAGGTCAGGCCCACCCCCTGCACCTCCACCTGCCCCAGCCCCTGCCGCTGCCCCAAGTGGGGCCAGCTGCCCTTACTTCTGGGGTCGATGATGTGACCTTCCTTGGGGGACTGCGGAAGGGACGAGGGTTCCCTGGAGTCTTAGGGTCCTTCGTCAGGACCAAGTCCTGTGGACACGCTGACAGCCCCCAGGGAGGCTGTGTCAGTAGGGATGTGTGCCTAGTTGTGTACGTGGGTGTGCAGTGCATGTGGGAGCACGTGGCGGCTTCTGGGGGCGGTGTTTGGGGAGGGAGGGGTGCCGGCAGCCTGGAGAGCCTCAGTCTCCTGTAGCCCCTGCCCTGGCACAGCCGCATGCCCGTCAAGGGCAGCCTTTGGGAGCTGGGATTTCTGCCGCTTCCAGGTCTAGGCCCCACCCCAAATCCAGCCAGTCCTGCCCCAGCCCACCCCTACGTTGGAGCCCTCCTGCTGCTGTGGTGCCTCAAATAAATACAGATGTCCCCCCGCTTCCTGCTCTGAGCATGGCTGCCCCATGGGGGAAAAGGCAGAGCACCCCAGGTTTGGAGGGTTCTGGGGTCTTCTGTGGTACGGCCCGGGGGGTGGTCGGGGAGGAGGAGTCGTCCCCTGAGCCATAGCCAGCAGCTTGCCTGGCCTCCGAGGGAGCCCCTCGCCAGCGCTCTGCCCTTTCTCCTGCCCCAGGCTCAGCAGGTCGAGTGAGTTCGGCCTCCCACAGCAGGAGGAGGTCGGGGGGCATGGAGGAAAGAAAGCAGGTGCCAGAAGGAGCATGCTCAGGCTGGGGCAGCACCCAGGGCTCTCTAGGACTTGGGAATGGAGGGTGTCTGTCTGGACCCGCTGGTGCAGAGGGCACAAAAGCTGGGCTGGGGCAGGACAGATAGTCCGGAGTTCAGTGAGTGGCCTTTGAGAGAAGCAGGGGGCTCCCACGCAAAAGCTCGGGGCAGCAACCCTGACCCATCCATGCCTGGGACTGCAGCGCTGCCCGCTTCCCCCTGGCAAGCAGGTGGCGGCCTCCTGACAGAGGAACCCGGCCCAGGCCACCATCTGCAGGCAGGTGCTGTGCACAGCCCAGAGGGCTCTTTGGGCTGGAGAGAGAAAACAAGCAGACACGCAATGGAGGTGTGTTTGTTTGTTTATCTGGGACAATGGGAGGAAACGGACCAGGGTCTCAGCCACTCAGCGCCGACCCTGGATTTCCCTGGCTGGCCAGAAACTGTGCTGTGTGTCAAGATTCCAGGGGCACCGTCCAGCAGGAGGGGCCAGTGGTCACCATGGAAGCCCAAGATTCCCCCCCTGGCAGCTGATATGAATAGCCAGGTCCTCCCAGGTCCCTGAGGTCAAGGCAGGTCAACGACCTGTGTCCTCCTCCTGTGTCCCTGAGGTAGTGATTCCTGTCTGAAACACACGAATCATTACTGCCACCCAAGAAGGGCCCGTTGTAACTGAGCAAGAGGACCTGGAAGGGGTCACCGGGAGGAGGGTCCTGCCGCCAGTCACCACTCCCTGTGGACGGACCCTGCAGAGACTGAGCTTGAGATTCTGTGGGGAGTTTGGATTTGCTGAGTGGGTTGCTCTAGCATTGAGAAATGCAAGCAGAGAACAGAGGGTGGAAACCAGATGGTCCAGAAGCCTGGGCACGGTAGCCAGGAGGACAGAGATCCCGGCATTCGGGTCCCAGCGTGCAGTGCATTCACTGCATTGTTCACTTGGAATCACAGGTGGCTTTGCTGGAGGGACAGACCAGTTGATCATAGTGGAGCTGGTGAGAGGAAGTTGCACCCAAAAGCCATGGCCAGGAACCTGGATCTGACTCCAGGGACACAGGAACATGGTGGGCGCTGGGCGATCATAGAATTTCTAACAAATGCTTGGTTTCTGCTAAAGCTAATTTTCGCTTCCATCTCTGGCATCTCCTCCACTTCCGAGGTGAGCTCACTGGTTTCTAAGTCTCGCAACCACACTGAGACGAGGGCACAGTCAATCCCCTCGTTTCCCCAGGGGAGACAGTCTCAGAGTGGAAGCTGCTTGTCCTCCTGGGATCTGGAACTCGGGGCCCAGCTCTCCCTCTGCTCTGGGTTTAGGGCTGGGGTCAGAGGCAGCCCTGACCTCCTGCGGGTAGCGGAGGGAGTGGTTCCGCCGCCGGGTTCCTGCCGCCCCGCCCTCCGGAGGCGGGAGGCCCCCCAAGGACAGGTGGTTTCCAGGAGCCGAGGAAGGGAGTCCGGGTTGTCTCCTGGGCCTGGAGCAGAGAAGGGAGGAGCCCAGCGCGCTGAGTTTCAATTTCCTGAAGCCTGAGGGAGGGAGAGGAAGGGAACCTCACCTCAGGGCTCTGGACCGGAGCCTCCCGCCCAGGGCCCACCACACCCGGCTAGGAGCTGGGATTTCCCAGTCTCTACGTCGACCCGAACTGGGGCCCCTCCTCTCCACAGCCCATCCAGCCCCACTTTCCCGCTTCCCGGCATCTGCCCCGTGGATGAGCCTCTGGAGGATGGGGAGCCCGCCCCAGCGCTGCGCCTCACCCACCTCCCACCGCTCAGCCCCTGTGGGGACTTCCTGCAGTGAGGCCCAGGCAGAACCCTGCGCTGCCTCCCCCATCAACAGCCTCTGCCCCCTTGACACCCCCGCCCTCTGCGGTGCCTTGCAGGAGTCACCAGCCTGTGGGCCCGGGACCGTTTCACACATCCGGCAGCCACAGCTGGCCTGGGCCCTTAGTGCCTCCACCCCTCCGTCAGCCCCCAACAAGTCTTCCTGGGGGGCCCCAGCCCTGAGTGCAAGACCCTCCGGGCTGCTTCTGGACCTTGGGCTGGGGCTGAGCCTGATCCTGGCTGGAAATGAGCACAGGGCTGGGCCACCTGGGGAAGGCCCTCCAGTCTCTGAACCCCACCCTGGGGAATTTGCTGGGACCCCCTTGAAGGCCACAGACCAGACCCCAAGGGTTAATAGGGGAACAAAGTCCTTGGGTTGAACACGTGCATTTACTATCTGGGCCAGCGGGCATCTAGGCTGCTGGGTGAGGGGGGTCTCTGGGCTGCTGGGCGGCTAGGCGAGGGCATCAGGGCAGGAGCTGAGGGCTGCACAGGGCAACCACCCTGCGCTCCTATTTACCCACCAGGGGCAGTGCCAGGGTGGGCTGGGCTCACAGCAGGGCCCAAAGGAAGAGGCCCAGGCTGAGCAGGAGCTCCCCGACAGCCAGGCCCCAAAGGCCGCGCCGCGCTGTGGCTGCCTTCTTACGAGGCTCTTTTCACAGCAGGTCATGTCCAGCTTCTCAGTCTTCAAGTCAATCAGTCCATCCTCAGTTTCTATGGGGTAAGACCCTCCATGGACCACAGGATGGGTGAGGTTCATAATCTGGGCACGGGGTGGGGGCACAGCCCTTGCTAGCGTAGCTGAATTTCTGCCCTGTGGGCGAGAGGAGGGCGGCTGGCACAGGAGGCCCCACCCGACCCCCTCGGACCTGCCCCAGGACCGCCCCCTTCAGGGAACCTTGAAGCCAGTGGCGACACGGAGACAAGCAGATGAGAACGGGGGGCGGCCCCAGGCTCCACGCCAAGTCTGTGATCCGTTAGATGGAGGTCCCTGAGCTCTGTCCCCAGATCCAAGCTTCTACCAGGCCAGGGGGCTCAAGGCAGAGCCCCTGGGATGCTGCCTGAGAGTGCCCTGCCCACCCCTTACCTGCTTACAGACGCCGGGTCCCACCCGGACTCACCATTGGTAGTGCCAGTGACCACAGAGGAGGGGCAGCTTTGAGCCTGCATGGGGTCGGAGACGGGTGGCACAGGCTGGGGTCCAAGACACCACAGCACTGGAAGCACTCAAGGCCCTGACTCAGGATGGGGCAGGGAGGGTGCAGGTCAGGGTCCCAGGCTGAAGGGTGGGTTCCAGTCCCTCTCACCAGCACAGGCAGCAGGCCTGGGCAGCACACAGGTAGGCTCAGGTGCCCTTGGCTACTCAGAATTGTGGGCAGGGTCCTGCTGGCATCTGGAGCCCCCAGCATCGAGAGGGTCTCACTCCCACCTTCAGGCCTCCTTCCCATCCTCCCCCCTCAGCCCCCACTTACAGGGCTTCACCCACAGCTGCGCCAGCAGCAGCAGGGGCCGGTGACCTTCATGGTCTTGGGTGTGGGTGCATGGAGGGCAGGTGTGGCACAGAGGCTCCGAGCCTGGAAAGAGCTAGGGGAGGCCTTGCACCCCCGAGCCTGGGAACCTCTGCCCCACGTCTGGTTTACGAGGAGGAACCCAGATTGCTTGTGTAATATGCACACAGCCGATGGCCTCACCCCATCATCTCGTAGTACGGGAACTGAGGGGTAGAAACCCTTCCGTCCTGACCTGGCTGCTCTAGAAGGCTGATGTGACCTCGAGCAAGGCCCCCCTCACCCCACCCCTTCTGTGCCTGGAAGGCAGATGTGACCTGATCTGGCTGCTCTGGAAGGCAGACGTGACCTCGAGCAAGACCACCCCCCACCCCCCACCCCTTCTCTGCCTGGGGCCTCCCAGAGCTCAGGGTGTGAGCAGAACAGACCCGGAAGGAGGAGGGGCTGCCGTGAGGAGAGAAGCGAGAGGGTGTCCCCTGGGGTGGGAGGTTGCCTTAGAAGGAGAAATTGTGACTCAATAGAGAGGAGGGTCCTGGACTAGGGCCCTGAGTTTCAGTTTCAGTTTCCTGGTGCATCAGGAGCAAGCTTCTTCCTGGTGTCAGAAGCAAGAGAGAAAAGCAGCCGTGAGACTCAGGTCATCCCACTCAGGATGAGGGTCTCTGGCTGAGCCCACCACTGGCAGGCCGCTGTGCAGACAGAGCCTGGGAGGGGCCAGCGGGGCAACAAGCTCTGACACGGAGACCCCAGGGCAGGCATCCCTTGTTTTCTGTGCAGGGAGCAGAGGCCCCTGTAATGGGGTGGGGTGACATGGGGGCTCCCTCGGTGGGGGGGGTCCTGGTCACTCCTGGAACCACCCCTGTCCCTCCCAGTCAGTGCCCCCTGCCCACCCCCATCACACCCACACCCGAATTTGTTCTTCACGGGAATCAGAAGACACAGGAAATGGGCCAGGGTGGGCCAGGGGTGACTGCAGACTCCGCCCCCGCACCCCCCCACCAGGTGCTGGGCAGAAGGAGGGAGAGGGCTTCCTGGACTGCGGGGACAGCCCTTGATGAAGACAGATAAAGGCAGCACACCCGCATAAGAATGGGTCGCCTTTCAGGTGGGAGGTCCCCTCTAAAAATCAGAATCCACCCTGTGCCCTCAGGGGTCTCTGCTTGGAGACTCCATGGCATCTGAGAGGATGAGCCAGGTGAGGTGGGGGTGGTGAGCGGGGAGGACAGGACAGAGCTGCAGGCAGCAGGCACAAAAGACTCCCCCGTGGCTCCGGGCAGCTGTGGGCAAGGCGCGGGCCCAAGAGGCCTGACTGCCCCGCCAAGCAGTGCACCAGAGCACAGGTCAGACCTGAAGGGGCAGCGCCAGCAGGGCCCATGGTCCGCGGGTCACTCTGCTGGCCCTGCAGTCACACTGCTCGGGTCCCACGGCCTGATGATGGCTGAGCCAGACATCATAACACCAAGCAATGGAGATGTTAGAATATTGCTAGGGATACTGACTTGTTGTATTTTTGAATCTTAAAATACATGTTTTAATCTGACCGTCCATAAGCAGTGCATGTTACATGCCAGTCAGAGCACAAGCATCCCTGAGAGGTGTGCACTCTGTGTGTCTATGGATGATGAAAGCACGGCTTTCACACAGCAAATTATCCTCACTTCATGTGATGCCTTCTACTGTATTTGAAAAGTATCGATTGTGTCCCACTCAATTGATTTTATACCCTCCATGCACATGGTCCCCAGTTTATTGGCAGGGGGATTATTTGGTGTTTTGTTTGTTTTTGTTTTTGAGATGGAGTCGTGCTCTTGTCGCCCAGGCTGGAGTGCAGTGGCACGATCTCAGCTCACCGCAGCCTCCGGCTCCCAGGTTCCAGAGATTCTCCTGCCTCAGCCTCCCGAGTAACTGGGATTACAGGCGTGTGCCACCATGCCTGGCTAGTTTTTGTATTTCTAGTAGAGATGGGGTTTCACCATGTTAGTCAGGCTGGTCTCGAACCCCTGACCTCAAGTGATTTGCCTGCCTCAGCTTCCCAAAGTGCTGGGATTACAGGCATGAGCCACCACACCTGGCCTGTTTTGTTTTTTGAGATAGGGTCTCCCTCTGTCGCCCAGGCTAGAGTGCAGTGGTACAATCACAGCTCATTGCAGCCTCAACCTCCTTCCCAACCTCAGCCTGCAGGGGAGGGGAGGGAGAGGAAGGGAAGGGAGAGGAAGGAAGGCTCACCTCAGGGCTCTGAACCTGAGCGTCCCGCCGGGGATTTCCCAGTCTCCACGCCAGCCCGGAACTGGGCGCCCTCCTCTCTGCAGCCCCATCCAGCCCCTGCTTCCCAGCATCTGCCTGCAAATGAGCCTCCGGAGGATGGGCAGCGGGTCCTGGCACTGCCCCTCACCAGCCCCCCACCACTCTGCCCCTGTGGGGACCTCGGGAGGTAAGGCCCAGGCAGGACCCTGTGCCGCCTTCCCCATCCACAGCCTCTGCCCCCTTGACGCCCTTGTTACAGAGGCTCTTTTCACAGCAGGTCATGTCCAGCTTCTCAGTCTTCAAGTCAATCAGTCCATCCTCAGTTTCTGTGGGGTAAGACCTGCCAGGGACCACAGGATGGGTGAGGTTCATAATCTGGACATAGGGCCACAACCCTTGCTAGTATAGCTGAACTTCTGCCCTGTGGGCGAGAGAGGAGGGCGTCTGGCACAGGAAGCCCCACCCAACCCCCTCGGACCCTCCCCGGGGCCACCCCCTTCAGGGAACCTTGAAGCCAGTGTGGACACGGAGACAACCAGGAGACAAGCAGAAGAGAACGGGCCGCGGCCCCCAGGCCCACGCCAAGTCTGCAGTCCTCCCAGGCTCAAGCGATCCTCCTGCCTCAGCTTCCAAGTAGCTGGGACCACAGGCACTGCCACTACACCCAGCTATTTTTTTAAAAAAATTTTTATAGATATGGGATCTCACTGTGTTGCCCAGGCTGATCTTGAACTCTTGGGCTCAAGTGATCCCCCTGCCTCAGCCTCCCAAAATGCTGGAATTATAAGTGTGAGCCACTGCACCCGGCCTGGTCCACAATTTAAAAACACACAGCCACCATTCCCTCTCCAGAAAGCACCCAGGTTCCTTTGGGAGAACCAGCCTCCTCCGTGGGGAACACTTGGGACCTGCCTTCCCACCTGGGGAGCAGAGGGATCTCTGGAAAATCCTTCTGACAGACCTTCCCCTCAGTGCCCGATCCATACTCAAAAGGAGAAAAAGTAAGAAATATACAAAGATAGCAGATACACCGTGACAGTTCCCCAAATAGCTGAGCGACTAGCACAGAGGCGATATTGAAGAGAGACATTTCCAGAACTGATAAAGTGGATCCAGCCACAGAACAGGCAGCCTAGAAAATTTCAGGCAGCGTCAACAAATAAATAACCCCACATGCACCTGTGAAAATGCAGAAGCCCAAAGAAAAACAGTCCTGCCGACGGCCAGAGAAAAAGATCAGCCACCAGGGGGCGGTAGTGAGAAGGACAACTATGGAAGCCAGGAGAGATGATAGCCCTGAATTCACAGGCAACAAGAGCACTGGAAGAAAGACTTTGTCAGACAGACAGAAAGGTGATCACCAACATACTTCCAACATACTTGTACTAAAAGAAAATTTTATTTATTTATTTATTTATTTATTTATTTATTTATTTATTTATTTATTTTAGACAGGATCTCACTTTGTTGCCCAAGCTGGAGTGCAGTGGTGGGAACACAGCTTATTGTAGCCTTGACCCAGGCTCAAGCGATCCTCCTGTCTCTGCCCCCGAAGTAGCTGGGATGACAGGTGTACACCACCATGCCCAGCTAATTTTTGTATTTTTGTAGAGGCAGGGTTTCGCCATTTTGCCCCAGCTGGTCTCGAACTCCCGTGCTCAAGGAATACAGGTGTGAGCCACAGCACCAGCCAAGAACGTCTTTTAAAAAGCGATCTTGCTGGGCACGCTGGCTCATGCCTGTAATCCCAGCACTTTGGGAGGCCGAGGCAGGTGGATCACAAGGTCAGGAGTTCAAGACCAGCCTGGCCAAGATGGTGAAACCACGTCTCTACTAAAATTACTAAAATTAGCCAGGTGTAGTGGTGGGCTCCTGTAATCCCAGCTACTTGGGAGGCTGAGGTGGGAGAATTGCTTGAACCCGCAGGCAGAGGCTGCAGTGAGCCGAGATTGCGCCAGTGCACTCCAGCCTGGCAACAGAGCAAGACCCCATCTCAAAACCAAAAAAAAAAAAAATTTCAATTTAAAAATTTAGAAAATAAAATAAATTTTAAAATTAATAAAAGAAAGGTAACCGACATAGAAAACTGGACACAGCGATTCCAGAAAACACATCTTTTTCAAGTACACACAAACATTTACAACTATCGATCACATAATGAGCCATGAAAAAGTTTCCACAAATTAACTGAAATCATACAGAGTGGCTTCTCTAATTACAATTCAATTAGACCAGAAATTATTACCCAAAACGAGAAAATCCTCCTCTGTTTGGTAATGAACAAGTATATTTATAAATAACCCATATGTCACAGAAGAAATCAAAATGAAAATAGGATTTCCCTCTGTTGCCGAATGCAACAGGAATGCAGTGGGTACAATCAAAGCTCACTGCAGCCCTGACCTCCTGGGCTCAAGTGGTCCTTCTGCCTCAATCTCCTAAGTAGCTGAGACCACAGGCACACACCACATCTTGCTAGTTTTTTATTTATTTATTTATTTATTTGAGACGGAGCTTTGCTTTTGTTGCCCAGGCTAGAGTGTAGTGGCACGATCTCAGCTCTGCAACCTCTACCTCTAGGTTCAAGCAATTCTCCTGTCTCAGCCTCCCAAGTAGCTGGGACGACAGGCATGCACTACCACACCTGGCTAATTTTTCTATTTTTAGTAGAGACGAGGTTCCACTACGTTGGCCATGGTTGGGCTCGAACTCCTGACCTCAGGTGATCCGCCTTCCTCAGCCTCCCGAAGTGCTGGGATTGCAGGCATGAGCCACCACGCCTGGCCATAACTGCATGCTTTGAGAGAACTGTATCCACTGTCAGGTCTCAGAAACCAATACCTCAAATTATGGCACTTTGACATGCTGAAGAAACTTCGAGAACTTTCTGTTCTCCCCACAACCCACAGACTCTCCCAAAGTCAGGATGGAGTTCTCTAGACTTCCTTTGTTTGCCTGAAGTCTGAACCCACCAAGAACAATTGTATTTTCCTCCCCTACCCCTAGACAAAGAATGTCACCATATCTGAACAGACCCTTTCAAAAGATAATCATGTCTGTCCCTCAGGCCCATCCACATTCCAAAGAGAACTGTCTACAAGTTCATCTCTGCTCCCTGCTCCACTGCCCTCAGAATTCCTCTTCTCTCCCCATGGCCTGTGTGGCCAGGGTGGTCCCTCAGCGTCTGAACCCTGCTGCAGGGTGGGGGATATCACTCTGTGCTTTCCCCTGTGAACACGTTAATAAACCTGTGTGCCTTTTCTCCAGTTAATCTGCCTTTTCTAAGTTGAGTTTTCATGGAAATGTCAGGGTTAAAAGGGAAGATTTCCCATTGGCCCTTACCTTTCTACATTAAAAAAACATTCAGGCTAGGCACAGGGACTCATGCCTGTAATGCCAGCACTTTGGGAGGCCAACGCCGGAGGTCAGGAGTTGGAAACCAGCCTGACCAACATAGCGAAACCCTGTCTTTACTAAAAATACAAAAATTAGCCGAGCGTAGTGGCACACACCTGTAATCCCAGCTACTTGGGAGGCTGAGACAGGAGAATCGCTGGAACCCGGGAGGCGGAGGTTGCAGTGAGCCAAGATCGTGCCATTGCACTCCAGCCTGGGTGACAGAGCGAGACTCCATCTCAAAAAAAAAGATTCAACATCGATGAATGAAGCATTCATCACAGGAAGTTACAGAAAGAACAGCAAATGGAATCCAAAAAAAAAAAAAACAGAAGAAAGAAACTAATAAAAGTGACATCAGAAATTAATAATACATAAATTATGTATACATTAGATAGGATTCATAAGTTAGTTATTTCTTTGGGTAAACTAAAAACTTGGATAACTCTTGCTTTTTTTTTTTTTTTTTTTTTAGACAGGGTCTCACTCTGTTGCCTGAGCTGGAGTGCAGTAGTGCAGTCTCAGCTGACTGCAAGCTCTGCCTCCCAGGTTCAAGCAATTCTTGTGTTTCAGCCTCCCAAGTAGCTGGGATTACAGGCTTGTGCAACCATGCCCAGCTAATATTTGTATTTTTTGTGGAGATGAGGTTTCACCATGTTGGCCAGGCTGGTCTCAAACTCCTGACCTCAAATGATCTACCTGCCTCAACCTCCCAAAGTGCTGGGATTACAGGTGTGAGCCACTGTGCCCAGCCTTAAAAATGTGGATAATTCTTGTGAGAGACCCGTCAGAAAAAGAAGAGGAGAAAAACAGCCATAATAGCAACGGGGAAAAAAATCAGGATCAACAGAGGCTTCAGCCAGGCGCAGTGGCTCACGCCTGTAATCCCAACACTTTGGGAAGCCGAGGCAGGTGGATCCCTTGAGCCCAAGGGCGAAGGAGCAAAGGGGGAAGCACCACACACTTTCAAACCATCAGATCTCCTGAGAACTCACTCACTATCCCCAGAACAGCAAGGGGGAAATCTGACCCCATGATCGAATCACCTCCCACCAGGCCCCTCCACCTATTCCACATGAGATCTGGGGGGCCGGGGGGGACACAAATCCAAACCATATCAGCCTGTAACTTCTTTCTCCCTGAAGGGTGTAAAATCGAGCTGTACCCCGGCCATCTTGGGCACGTGTTCTCAGGACCTCCTGAGTCTCTGTCACAGGCCACGGTCCTCACATTTGGCTCAGAATAAACCTCTTCAAATATTTTAGAGTTTGGTTTTCTTTCATCAACACATCCCTCCTGTAAAACACAGAGTAAGCCGGAGAGAACGGCTCACACCTGTCATCTCGACACTTTGGGAGACCAAGGTGGGAGGATCATTTGAGGCCAGGAGTTCAAGAGACCAGCTTGGCCAACAAAGCAAGACCTCATCTCTAAAAAAAAAAAAATAGTAAATAAAATAAATGCATAGGCGGGCGCAGGTGGCTCAAGCCTGTCACCAGCACTTTGAGAGGCCGAGATGGGCGGATGTCACGAGGTCAGGATGATCGAGACCATCCTGGCTAACATAGTGAGGAACCCGTCATCTCTAAAAGAATACACAAAAACTAGCCGGGCGCGGTGGGTGGGCCGCTGTAGTCCCAACTACTCTGGAGGCTGAGGCAGGAGTAATAGGCGTGAACCCGGGAGGGTGGAGCTTGCAGTGAGCTGAAGATCCGGCACCACTGCACTCCAGGCCTGGGGGCGACGAGCGAGACTCGTCTCAAAAAAAAATTAAATAAAAAAAAAATAAATGCATAGTGACTTCACTCTTTTCTCTCAGAGCCTCTAATTGTCACTTTTGTGAGTTTCTTCACGGTCTCTTGAACTGTACTCAGGGTGTCAAGAGGTACAGTCGGGAAGAATGGGGCCTCTGATGGGGGGTTAAGAGCATCATTCCGGGAGGCATGAGGGAGGCAGCGGAAGAGGGGCTGTGGTGTGGCCTTCGCACACTGCAAGTCCTGGAGGTCAGCAGAGGCAGGACGTCCAGACAGTGGATGCCTGAGTGGAGACGCCTTCAGCCGCCCTGACTCCACCTAGGAGGTGCCCCAAGGCAGAACCAGCAGCTGAGCCTGGCCAGCCCCGGCAGCCATGAGAGACAGTAAGTTTTGGGGTGACCAACGGGGAGCCCCAGCAGGAGCCCAGCAGGAGAGAGAAGCTGGGTATTGATCCTGCTGGCCCCTCCTGCAGTCCGCAGGACTGTCCACAGCCCTCGCTCCTCTTAAGCAGCTCACCTGCCTTGGAGGCCCCTCTCCTCCTGGCCCCTCTTTTTGGGCCTGGGTTGGGGGTGGCAGGGGTCCTGTCACTGCACCCGGAGGGGGATATAGCGCCGGATTGTTTCCGGGCAGCCCATCCCTGTACGAGGGCCTGGGGCTGGGCCCAGTAGCTCACACCTGTAATTCAGCACTTTGGGAGGCTGAGGCAGGAGGATCGCTTGAGCCCCGGAGTTCGAGAGCAGCCTGGGTAACACAGAGAGACCCCACTTCTACTTGAGAGACAGAGAGAGAGAGAGAGGGATGGAGGGAGGGAGGGAGAGGCTCTTGGTAAATGCTCCTATTTTGTAAACTCTCTTCCTATTTTGTGATTAGGATGCTCCATCAGTTGCTGCCACCACTTGCTGGAGACGCTGCATGACCCTGACTCCTCTCAAAGGGTGAAAGGCTCAATGGCACCCCAGACGCCCCCTCAGGCAGAGGATAAACTCCCCGTCCCACCACCTTCCTGGCCTCCGTGAGAGTGGCGTGCGGGCTGACCCTGGAGGAAGAGGGACATTCGAACGGGGTGGGCGGCCTTCTACTGCTAGGCTGGGCTCTGGGGTGGGTGGGGACTGGCCGCCACAGGCCATCAGCCTTCAGGGTTCTGGAAGCAGGGAGGGCAGAGGCTGGCCCAGCCTATGGGAGACCCCGCAGAGGCGTGGCCTCCGGGCTAATCCTGCCCCAACTCTCCCAGGGCGGGATTTCTTTTCTTTTTTCCTTTAATCTCTTTATCTACAGGCTCCAAGGCTTAATGAGCTCCAGATATCTCAGCATGCCAGGAGAGGCTTGGGATCCCCTGCCAAATACCAGGGAGATAAGAACGCACCAGATGGGCACAAACCAGAGCTGGTGACCCCAGTTCCCTTTAAGTCAGTGACGTGTCATTACAAGGCGGAAGTCCCCGCCCGGGAGAACAGTCCCCAGGGCTTGCTAAGCATGCGTGGTATCAAGAGGCGCACGGGGGTGCTCCTGCAGCCTCCTCCCCGCATGGGACTCCTCACAACCCCCGGCCTCAGCCTCCCCCACAGGGCAGGGGCTCACTCTCACCCACTCTGGGCCAGGAACGCAGCCTTTCGTCCAATTGGGTGCTCTTTCTTTGCGACTGATACAAAGTGGGGACAAACGCCGCTTCCAGTGATGCCCGGGCCCCAGGAGGCTGGGGGAGAAGCGCCCGCTGCCCGGCCTTCAACCTGAGCTGCCTCCAACACTTCCCAGCCTAGACCCCTGCAGCTGTGAGGCGAGGCGGAGAGGGGCTGCCTGCGGGGAGGGGCTGCGTGCGGGGAGGGGGCTGCCTGCGGGGAGGGGCTGCCTGCGGGGAGGGGCTGCCTGCGGGGAGGGGGACTCCTGCGGGGACTGGGCTGCGTGCGGGGAGGGGCTGCGTGCGGGGAGGGGCTGCGTGCGGGGAGCGGCTGCCTGCGGGGAGCGAGCTGACTATGGGGAGGAGCTGCCTGCGGGGAGGGGGCTGCCTGCGGGGAGGGGGCTGCCTGCGGGGAGGGGGCTGATTGCGGGTGAGGGGGCTGACTGCCGGGCAGGCCGCGTGGTATCGCCCCGAGTAGGGGGGACCCGTGACGTCAGGCAACATTTCTCCAAAGCCTCCCGTACCTCGTCCTTTGGGATCTGGGGTGCTCAGAGGAAGGGGGAAGCCGGGTGGTGTGGAGAGGGTCACTGAGAGAGGGGGGGAAAAAAAGGCGGGTGATCCCTTGGGGAGGAGGCAGAGGAGAAAGCTGTGGAGACCAGAAGAGAAGAGGTGGGGATGCGCCTGGGCTCTCAAGTTTGTTTCCCAGAACCCGGGAAGATTACAGTAGAAGGGAGGACCCTGTGGGGAAGAAGCTTCCAGAGACCTTCTGGGGAGGTGAGCCAGGGCCAGCCAGGGCCAGAAGCAGAAGGCCAGCTGCAGACCCCAGGCCAGCTGCAGTGGAGAGTCAGTGCTGCAGGAGGCTTGGGAACCAGGGCTGCCCTCCTTGGGCTGAACCCTGTGCCTAGAAGACCATGGCCCTGGGCAAAAGCGCTGCTTTCTGGGCCCACTGGCGGGTAGGGCATGACACTATGGTGCTAGGGGCAGGGGGCGACATGAGGAGGTAGACAAGCGGCCTGAGTCACCAGGTACAACCACTGCACCCCATTGTGACTGCCCCTGGGTCCGACACAGATTTGGGGTGGTCGCGAATTTCCCTTGACCTCCTTAGGCACTCATGAGTTTCTAGGTTGAGCAAATAAAAAGTCCAAGATGCCCAGTTTATTCTGAATCTCAGATAAACAACAAATAGTCATTTTTACCAATGTTGGAGACATACTTATGCTAAAATTGTTTATCTGAAATTCAAATTTAATTGGGCATCTTACCCAGCACGGCTGGGTGGTGGCTGTCACACTGTGCAGTCGGAGGGACCAGGACGGCTCGGATGGAGGCGTCTGGCCAGTGTGGGAGACCAGGACCTGGTCATGAGATGTGGCTCCTGGCATGGCAGGGCAAAGCCTCTGCTGGTCGTCTGAGCCCAGCCCTGACCCCAGGCTGAGACGGCCGTCCACCCAGGGCGTTCTGAGCCTAGCCCTGACTCCAGGCTGAGACAGGCGTTCATTCACCCAGACCGCAGTTCTGAGCCAGCCTGACCTCAAGTGATCCACTCACCTTGGCCTCCCAAAGTGCTAGGATTACATGTGTGAGCCACCACGCCCAGCCCAATTTACTCTTTACACTAGAATTGGCAGTAGGTGGGCCTGGTGGCTCACATCTGTAATCTCATCACTTTGGGAGGCCAAGGCAGGAAGATAGCTTGAGGCCAGGAGTGAAACCACTTTAGCAAGATTATAACAATGAGAGGAGGCCAGGCGTGGTGGCTCATGCCTGTAATCCCAGCACTTTGGGAGGCCGAGGCGGG